CATAAATTGTGCTACAGAGCTTTGCGTTTGCAACTAGTTCTAAAAAAAAACTTAATGAACAACATATATATTCATTGATTATCAGTTATCAATACATATATTTATATATTATACATGTACATATATGCACATGTACACATACAAATATATGTATATCTTAAGCAATCACATTATGTATTCGTATTTAGAACTAAATTATGAACGATTGGATGAATATTTTCGTTTTCGTTTTTGCATCCAATTACGAGGTGTGTGTGGGTGTATAAAAATTAAAGGGAATCAATCTCATTTCAAGGCCATTGTTTCATTGCCTGAGTTCGGTTTCGCAACACAAAAGAAAGTTAACAAAATCTAAATTAGACTCATTCTCTATTTCAGCTTCAACTTGTTCTCTTCTTAAATGTATACCAAATAAATCAAAACTTAAATTTCTTTTTCTTCTTCTCTCGTGTTTCACCAAGACCCAAATTTCAAATATATTTTGATCCATTTTATGTTTTCATAAACTTTCTGTTGACTCTCAATTCTTGGGCTCTGGCGGAGTGGGCACACGCTTGACATTCATGCTGAAGAACTTTGACTTGACCTGCTCAATAGTGTAGTCTACCTCGATGGCCGGATAGCTAGACTTCTGGAAAAATGCAAATTAGTATGCATGCAATTTGTGATTATATTTAATGTCACTTACGTTCTGTGTGATATTCTGACCGCGCAGCTGCTGCCAGTTTTCTAGAATGTGAGCATATCGCAAATACTTCTCAAACTCGTGTAGAGTCTCATAGACATGGCACAGACCCAAATAATCATACTCCAGTCCGGAATAGGTGCGTCCGAACAAACGCAAGCCTGTCGGAGGAACGAACATTAGCAAGAGGCGAGGAGAAACAACAGTTATGCTCACTTATGTCGATGCTGCGCAAATATAAGTCCTCAGCCTGACGGAATTTCTTCATTTGATAATTGTAGAGCGATGCGAGATGGCCAATGGATAGGCCCACCTCGTAGTCATACGGACCGAGCAGGTCAGTTTTAATCCTGATCGCCTTTTGGTGCATTCGCTCCGCCTCCTCGAAGCGATTCATTGTTTGATAGAGCCGCCCCAGATTTCCATAGTGCTTGGCCGTCTGCACATTCACCTCGCCGAACACCTCCAGCGACAGTTGCAAAGCGAAATTATGCAACTCCTCCGATTGTAGCAGCAGACCCTCCTCATCCATGCCGTCGGCAATTTTGTCCAGCGCAATCTCCTCCAGCAGCAGCGCCTTCACGCGCTTGGCTGAGGCCAACATTAAGTGATTGCTGGGCACCAGAGTTTTCATGATCTTAACCGCCTCATCGACGTGCTCCTGGGCGCAGCTAAAGTCCCCGGTGCTGTATTCATGGACATAGTAGGCATACGACAGATCCTCATGGGCAATCGCCACATGGAAGTTCATGTTGCCAAAGATGCCGCGACGCACGGCCAGCGCCTCCTTGTAAATGTTAACCGATTGGAACACCGAATCCACATTCAGCAAAAAGAAACCGTAATCCAGCAGCGCATCGCCGTATTTCTGGTGATTGGGGCCAAAGTGTTCACTGAAGAGAGGGAGAAAGGGAGCGCATGAGCGAGATGGAGATATAATTACGATTGACATATTTCATTTGAGTTGGTTTCACTTACCGAGCCCGCCGCACTGCCTGACAGATGAGCAAATTGGCCCGCGCAAAATCGCGCTTCACCACGCACGCCTTGGCCGCCTGACGCAGTACATCGATCGCCACACTGCGAATGAAATCAGCTCGAGTCTGGCATATGTTTAACTCTCCACAGATGTGTATATACTTACCGTGTGGGCGCCGACGCTTCCAAGTGGCGCATGGCCTGCACGCTCCACATGTGACTGTTGTTATACTCGTTGCGCGCATAGTACATGGACGAGATTTGGGTGTAGGCCATCGCAACTAGCGGCGCCGGCACCGAGTCTGTCAGCAGGCTGTTTATCTCCATCAGCTCGGCGTATGTCTTCTGGGCGAGCTTGAAGTTGCAAAGTGAAGACTCTGCGTAGAGCAGGCTGCAAGAGAGGCATGCATATCGAATGAATATAAATTTTAGGCTTGCGCTGCTATTGCTTACCGCTGCAGGCAATCGAGTCGCGTGATTATGCCGTCCTGGAACGCTTGCATTCTCTTCAGTCTTTCATTGAGGCAGGAGAGCACCGCAATGCTCTCCTGCATCCAGCCAGCCTCGGAGAGAAAGCTGCCCAAGCGCAGGCCCAAATCGATGGCCATGACATCCTCATCGGGCAATTCGTCCATGGACAAGGCTTCGGCTTCGGCTTCGGCCGCTGCATGATTCTCTTTAGGCGTCATGTGATTTAGGCAACTGGCTGCAATAGCAACTACGTCCATTGTGGTGGCAGTGGTTTCGGCTCCAGTTACAGTTGCAGCTGCAGCTGCAGCTCCCGTTCCAGCAACAGTTTTTGCTCCCGCTGGTTGAGCTTCATCGAGTTCACTCTCTTCTGTTCCAATCTCGGGCAGCGCAAAGCGGTCCACATAGCCATCGCTGAGGCGCCGCGGCAGCGCCTTGTTGCTGGCCATCAAAGCTGCCACAATGCGCAGCAGCTTGCCGCGGGCCGATGTGTAACGGACCAGACGACGGAATATATCTAGGTGAGACAACTCCTCCAATAATGTGTCCTTAAGGTCAGCTTGCTGGGACATCTACAAGACAATTGAGTTAAGTAATTAGATCAAATTCAAACGATGATTAAGAAGAGCTTACAGCTTTACAGCTTCTCAATGCATCTTCTTGATAAGCTTTAAGCTCTGTGCAAATAAGTTATAGCTCTAGAATCTATCCATAGCTGACTCAAAGCTCTTGCCCCAAACGATCTTAATAGTATGCTCGCAAAGACTCGGATGTAGCCTTTTTGTAAGTCCTACTTTAATGCGACTCAAACTTCAAACTCAAAACATTCTTCATCAGTTGAGATTCATTATAAATAGCTATATACAATAGCGGAATAAACAGTCTCTTATTTCATCAACATTTTTTTGCTGTTATCTGCAAAAAAGCTTCCCATTCAACAGCTGCTGAACACTGGCTTTATCATGATCATGGAAAAAAACAACGAACGTGCTCCAGAGTTTTGTCAACAACAATTAATAAGACACAGTAATGGAGTAGTAAAAATTAAGTTCGAAAGAGAATACCTAGAATTTCGGCCAAAGCAAGAATGGAATTCGTGTCAACATATTGATTTTGTGGAGCTCGCTGTTGATCAAAACAATCAATTAGTGGAACATCCACCAGTGTGGTAAAACATTGAGCGAATGCTGCTAAGAAGGCAGAGTATAATTAGCACCTACACACATGTATACATATGTATATGTATGTACATATGTAGAATAGGCCGTCTTCAATTAAGCACACGTGTCATGGTTAACCAATAATATGAACAACTAAGGCATTACGCAACACTGGCCTCAGATCCAATGATCCAATGATTGGACAAAGATCTTTGAGCCGAGTTCAATGGCTGCGCCTTGGCTTGGAAGGATGAACGTTCGACGAAAGGCCACACCGACAAAGCGAATGCGCTATTTTTAGTCAACAACAACAACAACAGCAGCAGCAGCAGCAGCATCAGTTGATTATTATTGTTGTTGTTGTTGTTGTTGATGTCGCTACTCATAATTTATATTGTAATTGCAGAGCTCTCTTATGACAAACAATTTCTCATTTAAGAATTTACGTCTGTGTGCGTGAGTTTCTTGAGGCATGTGAACAATGCCGAAGTTTACATGCCCTAACGCAGCGCAAAATGTTCAAGTTTGGATACAGTGTATAAACAACAGTTAATAAAGATATCATATCGCTCAGCTATGTCAATGATATCTGTGCCATGTGGTTTTAGACACGATTTAAATACAACCACAGGCACATACACACACACACACGCACATACACACAAATGCACGCACATAGGCTAGAGCCAGCTGCGCGCACTATTAGACCAGAAGCTTCTACACGTAAACATAAACAGTGGAGAGCTTTACGATTCGCACAAGCTTTTCCTGCATGTGTGCGCGTGCTGCGTATGCGTTTGTTTAGTTCAAACAAACTGTAAACCAAAACAAAAACAAAATGCGTCATTTGTTGTCCTACTGCAATTTTGCAGAAATTCATACAAATGAACGAATGTGTGCGTGTGTGTGTGCTCGCTTGTGTTTTGCTACAGCGAATGCATGTCAGCTAACTGTAAACAAAACAGAATGAGATATCGTCATACAATTCGCACGGTCCTGCTGTGAATGAGCTTTACAATAGAAGCGCAAAAATGCCGTAACAGCGCCGCAATAATTGGCGCTCGCACGCACACAAAGGCAACTAGATATGTATCTGTGTTTGTGTGTGAGTGTGTGTGTGTGTGCCTGTGTGTGTTACAGCTGATTTTCTGATTGACTTGTTTGCAGCCTCTGTCTCTGCCACTGCGTGTTCCTTTGCCTTCTTTGCCTTGCTTCTTGAATTTCATTTTCATTTCTCATTTTTCAGAACTCGCCAACGATAACGTGCGAAAGAACTTACCAGCTCGTAGACATCGATCAGCAGATTGTCCGGCAGCTCTGGCAGCTTGCTGATGCGCTTCAGCGTCGTCACTTTGCAGTCCAGGCAGTCGACAACGGCCATCAATGACAGATCGTACAGGGGGTCGGGACTGTTGTTGTTGCTCTGGCCGGAGGCCATTTTGCTTGATTCTGTTTCCTCTTGTTTGTCTTTGTTGATATGATGTCTGCACTTCTGAGTGTGTGCTTGTCAGTGTGTGTGTGTGTGTGTGTGTGTGTGTAGTTGTGTATGTTTCTTTTTACGTTGTTATTAGACTTGTAACTTGATTTTGTTATTCAGTTTGTTTATGTGGCTCACTTTAATTTATAGTTGTACCAAAGCTTACAATAACACAAACAAAAACAAAAACAAAAAAAAACGCGGGTTGTAGCGAAGTGTTGGACCTATGCGAAAAGCGCGCAAAAATACATAAGATTTTAATTAACAAGAAATTTAATTAAACATATTTTGTTTTTAGCCCACATGGCTGCTCGTCGACAGTGAAAATATGTGTATGTAACTGTGAATGGCTTGCAATGTTAACATTAACAGAACAAAAACAACAGCAACAAAAGTTACCAAATAAAAACAAAATAACAGCAAGTGTCACTTGCGCTAACTTCACTTTCTTTGAGACGTTCTTCGTTTTTCCTTTTCCTTTTCTTTTATTTGTGTTGTTGCCCAGCGGCCAGCAGCTGCGGCCAATTTCACTACTGCTGCTGGTGCTGCTGAGACGAGTTGCTCTTTGTTACACACTCACACTCGTACTCATATACAGACACACGCACATGCACACGGACACGCGCTCGCACACAATCGAACACGCACGTACGTACACGCACAGCACCAGCAAGCCCAAAAAACTTGCTGAATTTGATTTGATTTCTTGTTTTTCAATATTTGTGCACTTACACAATATTGTGTGCATTTAATTGCGTCTGCTGCATGTGCCAAAATTTCGCACGTCTTACTGCTCGTTCGATGTACTGCATGAACCGTTCGCAGCTAGTCAATTGAACTTCTTATTTTGTTTCGATTTTATGCCAAAAAATATAAAAAAAATTTTAATATTTGACTCGAGGATGAGAGCAGCGACATCACCAATCGCTAACTTACCAAAACTGCCAACTTATCGATACATTTTGTTAACATCACGCGGTCAACCAATAACAGGCTCGATTTTATGCGTTAACATGCGCAGCTTTGCGTTAACAGCAAGATAACGCTGGGATTTAAATCGAATTTCGAATACAACTTTCGATAACAATGCAATTTGTTTTGTTTTCTATTGTTTTTGAATTTAAGCTGTAATGCCAGTCTCATATTTTATTGATAAACTTCATAATTTGGATATTATTGCTAAATATTTCGGATATACTGAGGGAGTAGAATTAATTGAAACGGCCTAATCGTTTTCGATAGGCAATCTCTCCATCTATGTATGTATTTTGTTTAATTTGTGCATTCTAAATATTAGGCGTTTGACACTCTGGCCTGCCTGTGCTTGGCTGCTTGTTGCATTGTCCGCTTGCGGTTTGGTTATCTCAGAACAGGTCAAATGAATCGTCTTCAACCTCAACGATCCCAAAGTCGTTGGTGCTGCCAAACATCCACCAATGGCGTAATATGTTGCGAATGAGCAGGAAGCGAGTCGTCACAAATTCAAAGAAATGAAAGAATAGAGCGCTGGATGTGAGCAGTGCACAGGATGCGACAAACACCTCCTGTACCGTTAGCTGCTCGGTGCTGCCCTGATTCAAATTATCCATGCAATGTAGCACCTGTACACAAGTAAAGAATCGCAGGTAAGCCTCGATCGTTCCCACAACCAATTGGCGTCCAATTAGATGCCATTGTCTGCACTCGCTCACCTGCTGCAGTATGACATGGGCGAGCGGCATTAGCGAGGCACTGAACAGCACGTGCTTCACAATCATGCCACAGCAGCGACCGCAGCAGAATGCGCGCATCATTTGCTTTAGGCTCGCCCGATCCGCAGTTATATTGTATGGCGCATGACAGATCTCGCATCGATTATCGCGACGATGCATGATCCAGCGTTTCAAGCACTTCAAATGTATGTAGCCCTGGTTACAAAGGACGGTGAGTAGTTAAAACAATCTGTTGAAAGCAATAAAAAAATCCTCTACTCCTACATTTCTTTACCTCACATCTTCCCTTACTTTCCGCTTCTTTTTCTACTCTTCCATTATTCTTATATAACACTTATTCACCACATATAATTCCCTCTCTCATCCAACTACTTTCCGTACATTCCATTCACTGATATTCTCCCACCTCCACTCTCCTTCATTTGTTTCACTTCCTCATTTCCTTCTCATTCCTGAGCTTACTGTCATTGCTTTACCCGTCATTGCTCAATCTCTCATTTCTCTCCTTCACAGCTCTCTAGCTCTCTATCATCTTTATCATTCCTACGCTGTTTCTGTTCTTCCCTGCCTTTCACTCTCTATCACTTTCTCTTTTCCTTGTTTTTCTCCTCTTCAATTCTTCTTTGACATTTTGCTCTTCTAATTCAGATCTTCGCACTTTTCCATCTAACCTCTTTAGCTTCGCCCTCATACCCTTCCCTCATACCATTCTCACTCATTTTCCCTCTTTTCCCTCTATTCCCTCTGCTTTCCTCTAATCGCTTCTCATCTCCCCCTCTCTCACCATCTATTTCAGACTTTCAACTTACCACGCTGCCTATGCATTTGCATGGACAGTTGATAATCTCCATGTCGCTTCGATGCCAGCGACAGATGCGACACGAATTGCCAAATTCATTAGCCGAATGGACGCTATCCTGGTTCGCCGGACCCGGCGCCGACCCTGCTGGCAGCACGATCCCCAGCTGCGTGGCCCCGACACCACCGCTGCTACCGCTACCGCCACCGCCACCGTCAACTTCTCCAACACCACCACCACCACCACCGCCCCCCGTTGAGCAGCTGGCAGCGCCGCAAGTGCCGTCAGTCTCAACGGCTACCGATGGCCCCGTCTCAATCGAGGGAATGCTCAACGCTTGGGGCGTGGCGGCGCTAGCCACAACGCTATTCAATAGCCGCAATGCAGTTGCCTCCGATAGCGGTGGCTGCTGCTGAGGCTGCTGAGGCGGCTGCTCCTCCTGCTGCTCCTCGCGCTGCTGTGCCATGTCGTCTCTGGCCCACGTCAATCAATGCGCAACAGACACCGCTGCCCTCTGCAGTTACCCTGGCTGGGGTTAGGCAATCGCGTTCGTTGTGTGGGTTCGGTGTGGGTTTATGTAAAGACTTTATGTGCGCGTAACGAACTAAATTTTGATGCACGAATTTCACACGTAATTTTGTTTGGACATTTTATACAAAACTTAACGCTCGACCTTCACAGCATGTCTGAGTCTCGGTTCGACAGCCCTCGCTCATAAATTCAAACTGACAGCCAACTGCAGGCCAACTCTGTCTCCATCCATTCACTGTTCATCGGATGTGTGTACGTTTCCATGTGAATGGCATAAACTCAAATTGTAATAGATTTCGATTCGAGCTTATGTGTCTCAAATTTTCACTAAAAAGTCAATCATATATTTTTCTATAAATTAAGGATTTTTCTATCAAATCTGAAGTTCTAGTTTGTTGGGCTGTTTCTTTAACACATATTTAAAACATTTTCTTTTATTTTTCAATAATTTGATAAATTCATAATAATAACCTCAATAATTTGACAAAGCTCAATAATTCCGCATGCATTTTTCGCAATCATCAATAATTATGCTTATTATTTGCCATAACCTCACATAGTACTTGTATTAATCGCCATAGCCTCAATAATAATACTAATTGTTATTCAACATAACCTCACTAATAGCTATGCTTTTCACCACAATCGCACTATTTATAAATGCATATACATATATAAAGCTAATTTACTCATCTACTCAATCAATACGATTTACCACAAAGCCCACAAGTTACGCGTCTCTTTCGCCTTAACCTCACAAATTAAGCATATTATTTATTCACACAAAGATTAATTGCATATTCGTTGTACAGCTATA